CCAGCCCAAGCGGGGCGCCCACCTTGCTCCCAGACCTCCTCCAGCACAACCTCGTCTGCACACGAAGCAAGAGGAGCCCTGGCCTCTCCTGGGGGGCCCCCAGCACTTCCTGCCTTGCCTTCTGCCCTCATATCTGCTTCTTAAGCAGCAATGGTAGGGGCCCATGAGGCGGACGTGATCACCCCCAGACCATGCCCTGGGAAAGCCGGCCGGCAGAGACTGCTGTCCTCCAAAGGCCGCGCCCCCAGGGATCTGGGGGAGGAGAAGGGGGAATTTTACTTTCATTTTAAAAATTTCAAGCTATAAGTTAGCTTTCACTGCTTAAGAGTCTATAAATAGAATTCTGTAACCATATTGTGGAATATTAGGGGCACACTGGAAATAGCGCATTTCAAATAGGAAAATGGTTTGTGTTCACCCAGTTCTGAAAGCCAGTTTTCAATTGCTTAAAATAGTCACGGTATTTCACCAAGGTAATTACACTCTTAGCTATCAGTAACAATTAAACCCTTAGACTGGAGATGCTTAATAAGGTCTCAAAATAAAATCTCACATTCCAAGCACTGTACTCCGAAATGTCAAGCAGGCAAGCAGGGCCTTCGACGGCTTGCGGGAGCGGGCGCCCCTCTGGCAGGCCTGGCTCAGTGCCCAGTGGAGGGCGGGACAGTGCACTCACCACACCCGCCCACGGCCGGGCTGGGGGCCCCCAGAGGGTGGGGGCACCTCCCCAGGAAGGACAGGGCAAGATGAGCAACCCACACCTTCTCAAAGCCAGACAGCTGCCATGCTGGAGGTGCCTCGAGGAGGAAGGCCGCAGACCACGAGGGAGCCGTGTGCGAACCCACGGGGCCATGTGGGTGGGGGCCACGCGCTCGGCTTCGAGCAGGAAGCGGCAGGCTGGCCGCCCTCTGCAGACTGGCCTGACGAACGGCTTAATCACGCGCCTGGCAGGACGGATCCTGCGTGCTGGAGCCGGGCCATGCGAGCGACCGTTATCGACCCCTCGCAAACATGCCTCCGAGTGACAGGCGGCGTAAGCCATCCGTCAGTACCAGGCAATCAATACCCTTCTCACAGCTATGCCTGTGAGCGCAGCGGGCCAGTCCAGGGTGAATTAGGCCAGAAAGCACCACTGCCTTCCAACCTGCTGGGCCGGGGGAAGAGAGGAGTGGAAATTTCCTGCCTTGGGAGCCGGGAGCAGTGACTCTCAAGGGCAGAAAATGCCCAAGATGGAAGCCAAGCACAAGCGCACAAATGTGGAGGCGCCATGGACACCGAGGGCGTGGGCTCCGCGGCGGTGGACACGCGGCCCCTCCGAGCAGGTGCCCCTGCCCCCGCGCCCCGAGCAGGGGTCCACGCCCGGGACCGAGGCAGCCCTGATGGAGCGCAGCAGGGGCCAGGCCTCCAGGCCGCCGAGCCAGCCCCGGGACACTCACTCGCGGGGCAGCACGGGCACCCGCAGTGGACGCCGTGGACGGAGCTGGTGGGCCCTGCGTGGGGACGGCTCGTGAGCTTGCCAAGGGGCCCGGCTGCGTCACGTGCGCACGGTCAGGGGCTGCACCCTCCCAGAGCACCTCACTCGCTGTGCCTCTGAGGATGAGCTGGAGCCTCCGAGCACCACTGAGGGGCACGCGCTGGCTCACGGGGTGGCTCCTCCAAAAGCCTGAAGGGGCTGCTCCGGGGCCACAGGCGGCTGAGGCCGGAGGGCCGCCCGCCCGGGAGGCACGCGCCCTCTGCCCCGCGGCACCACGCCCCGCGCTGGGCTGCCGGCGGCCCCGTGGGCCCCTGAGTCACAGCCCTCAGGCCACCCTCGCCCTCAGACACCCCAGGAACGCGGAGGCAAGGGGGGCTTCAGCAGATGAAGTGAAACTCCTAGACCTTTAAACGAGCACGTTCACCCGGGACTGTCTGGTGGGCAAGCGGGTCAGGTGACCTTTCAGAGGCAACGACTTCCTCCCGTGTGGCCAGAAGGACGCAACAGAGAGAGGCTGGAGCCCCCAGCACGCCTCGGTCAACGAGGGGGAGCCTGTCGCCACACAGAGAGGAAGGGGGCAAGAAAATGCTCCCCCAGGCTTCCCTGGAACCTCTCCCCAGCAACCGGGGCCCCTGGTGAAAGATCCCAGTGGTCACACTTCCGGGCATCCATTCCAGACAGACTGGAACCTGTTCCTGCACCCCCACCCCCACCCCCCAAGCCCCTTCCTCGTGAGAGCAGAACCCGGAAAGGATGAGAGTGCCTCCAGCTGGGGCGCCCGCCCGGGCACACGGGGAGTTCTGGGGGGCGTCCTGCGCCCTCCACTCCCGTGACATCCCCGACACGGCACATGTGTGTGGCCGCATCACGTCACCGCACATGTAGCCGCACGTAACCACCTCCACCAGGACGCAACACGAACGCAGCGTCACCCGTGTGCCAGGCCCAACCGTCCCACATGGGCCCGACACGACCGCTGCCCACCCCGCGGCCCTGGTTCCCAAAACCCTGCCCAGAGCCGGGCAGCGGCAGCCCCCGCGGGGGGGCCTCGCCCGTTCCCACCCCCCATTTACCTTGTAACAAAGCCTGCACCTTCTGACCACTTTCACCCAGTCATCCCACCCTGACCCCCGCCTCTGGCAGCCTCCAACCTGGTCAACTTTATAAGCTCGGCCTTCTTAGATCCCACCCACAGGCAAGCCCGTCTGCTGAGTCGTCTCATCAGAGGACGACCCCAGGTCCAGCCACACAGTCGCAGACGGCAGGATCTCCTTCCTGACGGCCAAGCAGTGTCCACTGCACACACTCCACTTCCTCACCGCCCATCCCTCGAGGGGGCCTCCGGGCTTCAGGAATAGCGCTGCGACAGACGAGGGGCTGCAGAGATCTCTGCCAGATGGTGCTGCTGTCTCCGCTGGACAAACGCCCGGAGCTGGGACCGCTGGCTGCACGGTGGTTCCATTTCTGAACCTTCAGAACCTCCATCCGGTCCTTCTGGAGTCTTCCTAGCGCCCAGCGAGCACCGTCCAGGTGAGAGCCGCCAGGCGGGCTGAGCGACTTCCGTGTGGGGCGTGCGACTTCCATGTGGGGCGCGCGACTTCCAAGTGGGGCGCGCGGAGCTCGCGGGGCGGCGGGGCGACTTCCGTGTGGGGCGCGCGGAGCTCGCGGGGCGGCGGGGCAACTTCCATGTGGGGCGCGCGGAGCTCGTGGGACGGCGGGGCGATTTCCGTGTGGGGCGCGCGGAGCTCGCGGGACGGTGGGGCAACTTCCGTGTGGGGCGCGCGGAGCTCGTAGGACGGCGGGGTCATCCGGCCTAAACCTCTGGCTGAGAACGGACACCCAGCCAGCAAGCAGCGCTCCCGCAGTCACAAGGACGGACTCCCCGCGCATCAGTGGAGCAGAGTTCTGTGCTTCCCGCGTCAGGGACCACACACAGCCTCCCGCCCGCATGTCAGGCCCCGGCATCGGTCCCACCCGTCGGGGCCCTGGCCCTGAGCCGCCCCGTCTGCCTCCCCGCCAGACCCCTGCGCAGGCCTGCGCCCGCGGGTGGAGTGCGGGTCAGCGGTGTCCGGTGGACCTGACCTCGGTTGCCCTGTTCTTTCCAGCATCTTGTCCGGAACCGTGGTGGCTCCCTGCCGTCCATGCTGGGGCGCCACCGGGAAGGCCTGGTTCTCCACACTCCTTCCACCAACGTCAAAGTCCCGGTCTCAGCTCCACCCTCAGCACCTCCGAAACTCCTCTGGAGACAAGCCGAGCTCTGCGTCTGCCACGTGTGCAGGCACAAGGGTGTGCGAGCCCCGCCCGCCTGTGCCCTGGGCTGCAGCCTCTGGGGCTGACCACACGCCCGTACCAGGGGCGTGTCCCACAGAGCTGACCCCAGGACACACCAGAGACACGGGGAGCGCAGGGGAGCGGCCTAAAGGGCCAGCCCCGGTCACTGAGCACCACCGCCCCGGCCAGGGGGCCGCGCCCACTTCACTCCGGGGCAGCGGGTGAGGGTCTCCCCTGTGGGGCACCTGCCAGGTCGCTGGTGGGACGGGCCAAGCCCGCCCGGGAAGCCTGCGTGGCCGACACGCAGCAGGGCACACCACGGGGAACACCGTGGGGCGGCAGGCCTCCTCCAGCAGACTCACGGCCCGGAGCTCCCGGGCTCTATCAAACCGTCAGGAACACAGTCATCACACGTAGCACCAGCTCCTGGTGCGTCCCGGGAGAACGGCCCCCTCCCAGGCAGGGGCCCACCCAGCCCCTCAGCATCAGCCTGGGGGGGCTGGGGGGTACGGGAGGAGCCTCCCCGCAGCTGGATGCCCCCACTCGTCCCCCACAAGAGTATCTCGGGACAGATTCTGGCTTTTTCCTGCCTCGTCTTCTGAAACCTCAGCACCCACGGCAACGTTTTAAATTACGCTCTCTCACACAAAAACCTTAATTCACACGCCAGCGAGCTCTGCTTCTCGAGGCAGACTTCAGAAGCCCCGGGCTCAGCACAGTTGGAGACCCCGGCCCACAGCCAGAGCCGGAGGTGCAGTGCATGCCAGCCTCTGCTCATTGAGCTCCGAAGGAAGGAGAGGCTGGGCCTGCCCGGGGCCCGAGGGAGGCCAACCCGCGTGAGGAGCCAGGGGCTCAGGGCCGACACCAGATACCCCACACCCCGGTCAGCAGGCGAGACCCTCAGGAGGAGGAGAGGCGCAGGGGGGATTCCGGGTCAGCATCTCAGAGCCTCCTGGAGAGGCAGGGTGAAGACAAGGTGGCCACACCGCCAAGACGCCCTCCTAGTGATGGGGAGCTTGCCCAGCCTGAGCCCTGACTCCCAGGCGGCTCCGCAGGAAGGCTAACCGCTCCAGCAGAGAGACACATTGCTGGGGGCTGGGAGTGCACGCGTGTGGTAGACACGAGGCCAGCGTAGGCCTGGAGAGATGACTGAGCGTGGACACGGGGGCCGCTGGCCTGGGGCTGTGGACGCGGGGGGCCGGGGTCCGCTGGGCTGGGAGGGTGGACGGGGTCCAGCCCCGGGAGACGCTCATACCTTCGTCAGCAGCAGGACGCGCTTCTGCAGCCGCCGTGCCAGGGCCTCGTGCGTCTCACGCCGCTTCCTCTCCTCCAGCAGCTGGCTGCCGAGCTGGCGGACCTCGTCCTGGAGCTGCAGCCGGGCCTTCTCCAGCTCCCGAGCGCTGCGGGGGCAGAAGGGCAGAGGGGTGAGGCCCAGCACCCACGTGTCACTCAGCCCCCAAAACGGAGCCGCACGCGCGCCCAGCCCGCCCTCACTGCCCCTGCCCCCCTCTTCTGAGCAGCTACTCGGAGCCTTTCGGGAGACTCCGGATTCAAACGGGGCCCAGGGTGACCCCAGAGCGCGCCTCACACAGCGGGGAAGATTGCCAGCCGCGGGCTCAGAGGCGCCTCTGGAGAGCCAGGCCAGCCTGGAGCACTTCCCACAGGCCCGCAGGGGCCCCTTCCCACCCCCGGATCATGCAGAGCTCCAGGGGGCGGACCTGGGCACCCAGCCGCCCCCAACCACAGACCGGGTGGGCAGCCACAGGCCTGAAGCCGAGCACTCCCCTGAAAATGCCCCCCATCCTTTACAGCCTGCGGGACCGTCCTCTGCCCTGGCCTGTTCCCACACGGACTTTTGGAGCCCTGTCCCGTCCTGCCCACATCAGATGCACCGGCACACAGACATGCCCTGTGCTTTGTGAGGGGACAACTGCCAGGAGAGCTCCCGGGAGGGAAGACATCCTGGGGAAAGGAGGCGCTAGCCCCAGGGGCATCGGGAGTGGGGCGGGAGCACCGTGAGGTGTGGACGTCAGACACCATGCTCACGCTATTCCAACTAGAGAAAACCTCCTTCCAAAAAAATCTTTAATATTCTCCTTCTGTTTTTTTTTTTTTAATTTGGCCACACCATGTGGCATGAGGGGGCTTACTTCCCTGACCAGGGATCAAACCCCTGGCCTTCGCACCACAGGCATGGAGTCTTAACCACTGAACCACGAGAGAAGTCCCTGTTTTTTCCTTTGGAGATTTTATCAGGATCACGTCATAAGGTACGACTTATAACATTTACCTGGGCTAATGCCCAGTGGCTACACCGAGACGACTTTGGAAACATTAATAGTGGAGCTGAGGCCTACAGAGGACACCGGCATCTTGCATCATTCTTGGGTGTTCAATTATGTTTTTGCTTCAATTACACGGTTTTCAAGAAAACCTTAATTCACAGGGATGGCAAGCAATGCTTTCTTTGGGGGTGGTCTCCACCACACTAACTTTTCCTATTTCACATCTGAGTGAGTATACGGTTTTTTATTATAATTTACTTCAATTCTTTAAACAGTTAATTTGAGAGTAAACGTGAAACACACCTTTACAGAACGCTGTAAGGGAACTCCTGGTCTGGGCTACCTGAACGGGGCTCAGCGCCCGCGGGAGCTGGTACGTTCTCCCCCAAGGGACCTGGGCCTGCCCTGCCGCCTGATCCCAGGCAGCCCCCCAAAAGCCTCACCCTAAGACTGAGCCCCCCACCCTGCCACACAGCTGGCTGACGGCACCTGCCACCTCGAGGTGATGCATAACTAAAAGCAAAAAACGATATTAAAAAACAAGTGTATAAATATTCATTTGGAACAGACTTGTTAAGAGGCTATTTTGAGTTCCAGTTCAATTTGGAACTATTCAAAGGCCGATTTAATAATCAAGGACTGTGAAATCGACTCTGGAATCACTGACTTCAGGTGGGGAGGTTCGGAGCGCTCGAATCACTGCTCCGCCTCGTGATTTAATCAGAGGAGCTCGGGTCCCTTGTCCGAGCCGGCCGAGGGCAGGTGGGGGGAGCAGGGGGCCCCTCTTCAGAGGAGGGCAAGCAGGCCTCCTGCTGAGGTGTGTGGCTCCCTCCCCCCAGCGCCTTCCGCACCGCCTGGCAGAGCAGAGCTGGAGAAGGAGGCTGGAGCGGAGGGCGGTGGTGCAGGAGCCACGGGGCAGACGCAGACAGGAAGCAAGAACGCGGTCACCTGAGGAGCGACAGAGCCAGAAGCAAGGGCAGGCAGGGCAGAGGTTCTGTCTACAGGACAGCACGCCCACCCACAGAGGGCAGCCCCAGGGGGTCTGAAGCCGGAGGGTATGCGCGAGGGGCCCGCAGGGGTCAGAGGGCAGAGACAGGAAGAGGATGAAGAGCAACCCAGGAGGGCTGCATGGAAGCGGCAGCAGAGAGCGAACGGGGCCAAGACCACAGCTCCCAGAACAAAGCAGCGGAGATGCCGGGTGGGGGACGGAGGAGAGGGCGCTGGCTTCTGCACCTTCTCGGGGAAGCAGCTAGGAGTACAGGGTGTGCCCATGGGAGTGACCTCACAGGGTGGGACGCCCCTGCGGGCAGGAGAGGAGGGACTTAATAGCTGGACCTTGGGGGACAAGGGCTGAACGAACTGGCACAAACGTGCTGCTTCCCCCAGGAGCATGCTTTCCTGATGTTTCCAAGATTTCACCCTGCAACGCCCCAGATCGGCCTGCCCCGCCTGCCCACAGGTAGCACCCCCCTCCTGGAGCGCCCAGGGTTGGGGGGAGAGTGGCCTCGGCAGTCCAGCGCACAGCCCGCGGTGCCTCGGGGCAGGACACAGGTGTCTGCTTGCCAGGCCCGCAGCCCCTCCTCTCTGCAGGAACCTTCTCTGGTTCCATCATGGCCCTTCTGCTGAAGCGGAGGACAAAACTCATAAAACATTAAACTGGTTCTGTGCTCACGCTGAGCCCTGAGGTCAGTGGCATTTTCATGCACCCCTGGGGGCTCAAAGCGAAGCCCTCAGTTCTCAGGAGTGGCCGGCCAGCACGTCCATCCATTGCCGCCTTTCTGAGCCGGCGTCCACAGAAGGTCAGGCCTGAGCGTGAGAGCCCGCTCTGCTTGCTGGGTCGCGTGGCCCACTGTGACGCCATCATCATCAGAAAACCCTATGCAGGGAGGCCTGTCTTCAAGGAGCGGTGAAGGGCGCCATGCGCTGTGAAGCTGCAGGAGCTGCTGCGTGACCTTCTTCCAGCGGCGGGGGCCTTGTCCGCAACCCGCCCTCCACGTCCTCCCCCTGCAGCCGCCGCCACGGCGTCAGACCCCGGTCAGGGCTGGCATGCACGTCCACGCAGGAGCAGGCCCTGAGGCCAGGCCAGCAGCACTGGGAGGCAGGGGCCAGCATGGGGCAGCCCATGCGGGAAGGACACCGGCCCTGTTGGAGCCCCACTCTGAGCTGCATCTGGGGCAGTGGCTTTGCACCCAGGCCTGCCTGGCAGGTCAGCTCAGAGGGCATAAACGGTGCCCCTGTGGCTGGACCCAAGTTCCCAGCAAGAACAGCCCTGAAGTGCGTGATCCCTCTGGGCAGTAACACGGTCCAGACGCTCGCTGGGACGGCGGGACGAGGCACAGCTTTATCTGTGACGACTGCCCGGGAGCGTTCCCCAGGCAGCAGGCGCCCGCCGAGGCCTACAGGCAGGCACAGCTCACGCGCACAGACACCCTGTGGTCACGCGGCAGTAAACAGGCCACTGTCAGTGACCGTCCCCAGCTGCTCAGAGTCCTCAGCGCATCCTTGCCCCGGGCTCCGAGGAGCAGAGAGCGGACCCGGCCGACACGCCCCCCCAGCGCCTCCGGCCCACCAGTGGGGACCCGGCAGAGGGCCGTGCACCTCCGCCGACCGGGACACGGCCCCCCGCCAGTTGCTCCAGCACGGTGCCCGCGCACCCCGGGCCACAAGCAGGCAGTGGTGTGTCTGTCTGGAAGGACGGGGCTGCCGGGCCGGCCGCAGGGCTCAGAGGCCCTCTCCACACCTGTGGGCCAGCCGCAGAGCTGCCCGAGGACGACCATGGGGCTTGGGGCCGCCACAGCGCATCAGGGAATCCTCAAACACTGAAAACCCTCCAAGGCTGCCTGTGCAGGGCGAAGGGAAGGCCGTGGAGAGGGCGGGGCAGAGCCGAGGTCCCAGAGGCAGACAAGGGAGGAGAGAGCGGGCTGGCCCCACGAGGGGTGCGGCTGGCAGGCAGGACCCAGCAGGACTCGGGGACACAAGGGAGCCACGAACCGAGGAGGTCGGGATTCGGCTAGGAGCAAGGTCACCAGCAGCCCGAAGGGCGGGGCCGCCACGATGCCCTGAGGCGGCAGGCATGAGACCCACAGAGGAAGCCGCGGTGCAGGCTGTGTGTGTGTACACATGCTGAGTGGTCCAGGGTCCCCAGTGGCCTTGGGGACCCCCAGCTGGGGAGCAGGCGGGCAGGAGCCTGGCAGTCAGGGGGCAGACGCACGCAGGCAGGGCCCAGGGCTCGGGGGCAGCAGGGCCCAGGGCACCCCGAGTCTCTCCAAGGGGCAGCTCTGGCGTGTCTGGGGAGCCAAGGGAGGGAGGGAGGTGCCCCTCCGGCCCGGGTCCTGCTCGGACTCGAGAAGGGCTGCCTGGGAGGGTAGCCCAGGACGACCAGGCCGGTGGCACACAGCCGTCTTCACGTACAGCATCTAATTCCAATCCTTAAGTGCCTCCAAAGGTCAGCACACATTTCACAGAAAAAGATTCTAAAAATCCAAACAGTGGAAACAGACCCAGAGAAGGAGGAAAGCAAAGGCTGAAGGAGCCGCAATCACAGGGCCCGCGAGGAGCAGGCTGCAGGCTGCCACCCGGCCACCGCTCCCCTCATCAACCCGAACCACCAAATTCAATTTGCATTCCCAGATAAACAGAGGCCACACAGTAAATAGTCTCATCTGACCTTGAAATGTGAGAAGGAAAATTACTCTCTGCAATTTCAATTCAAGCCCAACCATAATGAATAAAACCCAATTTAGCTGATCTGTTACCAGCCTGTAACTGCAGGGGTGGCAGAGCTCCAAACTCCAAGGAGGGCACCCGAGGCTGGCTTGGTGCATCCCCCCCCGGGCGACCGGGGTGCAGGGCCAGACGTGGCGGGGTCCTCAGACCCTACAGAGCAGCTGCTGGAATCCTCACGGCCAGCTCAGGAGCACCCGCGGGAGGAGATGGCGGCTGGGTAACGGGGTGACCCTGCCTCGGGCCAGCAGAGGTGGCCTGACCGCTGTGAGGCTGCCAGGGTTAATACCATGACCGGCGGCCTGGACCTCTGGACCTAAGTTTCGGCCTCCCCCGAAATGATAAGATTCCCTGCCCCCATCAGGTAACCTGGAGCCAGCCAATATGCGCCC